GTATTTTTCTGCCATCTAATTAATCTATAATTAGATATAGAAGCAAATCCCATACTTTTAAACTTGCTTTTAGCTAAATATGCATATATGATTTTGTAATTTTCCAGTATTTGATAATTATTTAAAACCAGATAATCTCAAATCTTTCATGAACCTGAATATCAGCTTCTGATGCTTATTATTTTCATTTTATATTTTGCTTTTAATAAAAAATAAATTCTTGGTTGGATTAGAATCCAAAATTATCCACTAGCAGAAAGAAAAAAAAAAAAAACAATCCTGTACTCTAAAGTAGGAAGATGAACCAAACCTCAGCTTATTCCTATTCCTAGCTAACTGTTTCATAGTGGAGAGAGCCCATCATATTAGTGATGCCACTACAAAGAACACTGCATTTTGTGTACTATCCAATGTAACATCTTTGATAATGGAATGAGGTGGTGGTGTCATATTTAACAGTAGAGGTTATTTCTGGCCCCAACAGTACTTGTTCTGAAATAAGTATCTTGGTGATTGGTGGCATTTTTGATGGGAAGTTGTTTTTGTTTATGCATCTTAACAGTTTAATAATCAGGGCAGTATGAAATAAAGACACAGATTTAGTACATAGAACAGGACATACAGACATATGCATCTCCCTCTAAAAACAGCATGGTGAACTAATCTAAGAATCTTTTTAATTTCCCTCCCCAAATCTTTTCCACAGTGAATAATCTGACAAGGGGAGCTCAAAGAGCCAGGGAATGTTCACTTTGCTCTTCTGCCATAAGCACCTTCTCCTTTTGCTAAAGTTTAACTGAGGTGGTGTCCATGGCACTAACAAACCTCTCAATCGTGGCATTATTTTCAGGTCATCTGGAGTCTGTGATTTCAATAGGAAGGAAAGTTTATTCTCTCCCCCACTAGCTTCCCCCAGTGCATATGGGGAACCTAGTATTCATATGAATAAAGACATCATTGGACAGCTCTAAATGGTGAAAGCCCAGAAAAGACAAATGAATCTTGAGTTGCAAAAGAGACAATACTGCTGCAGGATCAAAATTAAAACAAATCAGTGGGAAGTTTGACTCAGCCTAGCAATTCTATGCAAAGAGTAGAAGTAAAATGAGTTTTTCAATTTGTTTAAGTTATATGCAACTCAACTTTCCACAGAGTTACCAGCTGTCAACCTTCCCCCTGTTTTAGTTTTAATTTTGATCCTGCAGCAATGTTGTTCTTTTGCAACTCAAACTTTATCTGTCTGCAAAAACTCTAAAGATAGTACTGTAAACTTAGCCAAGAATCTTTTCCACCTTTTACCATCAGGTGGCTGAAGTAGCAGACATTTGGAAATCCTATCAGAGAATTAAAACAAAGCACAGAACCCTCAAACTCCAAAGCCGCTGGGCAGAGGACATGAAATTGAGGAAGATCCATGGGGTGAGAAGGGACTTTATTACACACATACACATTCATACTGTATATATTATGTTGGAGCCTTAAATGCATATAGTAATTACTATTCTATGTTCTATGATAATCAACTATGTGATCCTGCTTCCTCCACCAGTAAACAGTTTGAGGTCCTTATAATTCCTATCACCACTACAACCACCTAGGCTGATCATTTACAATTAGCTGAAATTGTAAAAAGAACATTTTAGCACACTATAATGGGAAGACTATGACCTGGTAAGTTCAAGGTAGGTTGCAGTTCCTTAAAAAGAGAAGCTAAAAGCAAACAATTCTAATAAGAAAAAACTGGAAGGCAGCAAAAAATAGCCACAGAAAACTTAGGGAAGATCTCTGTACAAGCAAGGATACATCTAGGAAATGAAAAGACCAGGTCACAAAGGAAGGACTAATGTGAGCAAAAGAAAGCTCAGAATGCATTACACTTAGTGGATGCTTCCCCTCCCCCAACCTGGTTTGATACAATGTCTGTAAAAGCTGCTTCGTAAAGTTGACAAAACACTTCAAAATCAAATCAGATCCTTTACTAGTCAATAACCAGATATAGCTTCAATTCAGTAACAGTATTAATGGGGGGGAGGTGTGTGTGAAAAAGGGGGCTGAGAGCATTTTACACAAGGCAGAAGAGAAAAGATACAAAATAGCAAGTAGAAACCGGAGCATTAGAATATATTTAAAGTCTGTAAGGCAGCAAAAATGGCAAGAAATGCTTAACTGTTAAGCAAGCACAAAGCAATATTGTTGTAGAAGAATCTAGAACAGAACAGAATAGGAGAACAAGAACAGAATAAAATAGGAATAGAGCTGGAAGGGAGGTCTTCTAGTCCAGCCCCCTGCTCAAGCAGGAGAACCTATACCATTTCAGACAAGTGACTAACTAGTATTTTCTTTAAAACCTCCAGTGATTGAGTGAGTGCCCATGTTTCTGAAGGCAAGTTGTTCCACTGGTTAATTGTCTTCCCTGTTTCTCCTTAATTCCAGGTTACTTCTTCGATTAGTTTCCAACCATCGTTTCTTGTCCTGCCGTCCGGTGCTTTGGAGAATAATTTTACCCCCTCTTCTTTGTGGCAGCCCCTCAAATACTGGAATACTGCTATCAGTCATAATAAATACTGATTTATTAAAGCATTTAGACAATTAAAAATGTGATGAAATGCAGCTATGTTCACTAAAATGCAATAGTTCTACCTCTAATACTTTGAACATAATTGATTACTTATGCTTACTTAATAGTTTAATTGTTGGTTGATGATGATGATAATGATGATATGGGTAAGAGCAGGAAAGTTAAAGAAACAAACTGAGGGACTAATTTTGGCTGCACAAGCCCAAGCCTTAAGGACAAATGCATGCAAATCCAGAATTGAGATTGAGAAACAGACAGTAAGTGCCGCCTATGCAAAGAAGCTGAAGAAACAGTGGATCACCTGGTAAACTGCTGCAAGAAGATAACCCAGATTGACTACAAACAACATCATAACAAAGTAGAAACAATGGTACATTGGAAGATCTGCAAGAAATATCATTTACCTGCAAACAAGAACTGGTGTGATCATAAAATAGAGAAAGTCACAAAAAAGTCTCAATAGTGGATGTGGCAATGCTTGGAGACAGCAGAATAGAAGATAAAGAATTGGAGAAGATAACAAAATACAAAGACCTACAAATAGAAATAGAATGACTGTGGCAAAGGCAAGCAAGGGTAGTACCAATAGTAATAGGCCCCTTGGGTGCAATCCCAAAACAACTGGAGCACCACTTGAACAGCATTGGCATGGACAAATTCACCATCAGTCAATTGCAGAAGGAGGCTTTATTTGGAACTGCTGCCATTCTGTGAAGATATCTGTAACACCATCAAACATCCAGATCTGCCTATTCCAGGTCCTTGATAAGGACTCGATAGGTAGACAAAAATGCCAAACCTAGTCTGAACATCTGGCTCACTGTGCGATGATCAATAACAATAACAACAACAATGATGATTTTCCCCAGATTATATAAACATTTTTCTCTATGGAGACCGCACAAGAGTTTACAAAAGAAAAAACAGTTTTAAAAAGTATAGCACAGGGTGTCAAACTTGTGGCCCACAGGCCAGATGCATCATGTGATGGCCCTGCCCCCGCCCAGTTTAGCGAAGGCGAAAAAAGTCCCAATATGTCATATGACAACGCCGTGATGATGCGAGTTTGACATCCCTGGTATAGCAGAATAGCAGTGAAATCCAGATTACTACTATGTATTAAAAAGAAAATGTGGTCATTCAATTAAAGTTTAAAGGATATAAGAGCATACCACAACCATCATTGACAACTATGTTAATCTGTGATCTTAGAACAGTTCAGTAAATTAACTCCTTTAGTATACCAAGCACTATGTCTTAAACCAAACTTCATTTTTTGTTCCTATTTGACTATTTCATTCTGTAACTTCCCTTTAAAGTGGAAGAAAATGTCAATGTTTAAAGTGATTCTGATTACTGATTTTTTGATGGCAAACACAGAAATATGCATTGTTTTTGATACAAATATGGATGTGGACAGAAGCTTTTTGACACACAAAAAGCAAAGTCATCACTGGAAAGCCTGTCTACAGACATAGCTTTAGAAAACATAAAGAATTGCATGAAATGAGAGTAAAATGGCAGCATGCACTTTTTATTTCTTTCATCCATTTATAAGTCACCTTAATCATGTGTATTAAATCCATAAAACAAATAGAACATGTAAATAATCAGTATCTATTTTGCTAGCCAATTATTTTGGGGAAAGAAACATGAAGAACTAAGAAATAAAATCTCAGTATTGCCTCAGGGCCATAAACTTCCCCCTAGGTCTGCAGAAAAAGCCACATTTCCCCCAAATGACAATAAATTGGGATTGTGGAAACTTCAGGAGGGAGACTATACCAGACAGATACAGGCAACTACATAAAAGCCACATCTCCATGACATCATTTTAATAACAGGCAAGGAGAGTGCCTGCTTAACTAAATCTAAATGCTTTAACAAACTATGCCAAGTGAATCAAGATCAACCAAATCCATTCAGGTTAAAATGTTCCTAAGGCCAATCACATTAAACCAATAAGTGCATATAGTTTGTTCTTTTTTGCTTCACATGTTGCACAAACTGTCACTGTAGTTCAAGCAATCATAGTGTATCTGAGCCTCAGAAGGTGACAGCCATTGGCTGCTCTGAGTTGAATTAGAAATTCAAGCATGATTTACCACCTGGTTAACACTTGTGGAGGTCTGCAAGGTAAGACTGGGGAGTTTGGAAATATTACAGAAGAAAGCAAACTCCTTTTATTCTCTTACCAATAAAATCACCTAGGCTTGTCCATCAGCATTTCCAGTGAATTTAAAGGAGCCTTTCTCTTTAAATCCTGCAGAAATATTTTCAGTCAGTTTTTTTTTTACCTCCAAGCAGCAAAAACAACGCTATCTGATCCTAATTCCATTCTGGCCAGGTTCACACGTTCATAAAGTGGCTTGTTTGAAGTTTAACAGCCAACCTACCTTGAATGATTAGGCCGCGATTCTCTCTCCATCCGGTCCTCCCTCCCCACCACTCAGGTCCTACCCAGGCCACTCCCAGTCAATTAGGCCACCTTTAACATGACAATGATTCGGGAAGGTCTGTCTGCCGCAAGGCGGGCCATAAAAGGTATCCCAAGGAGGCTGAGGGGCTTCTATAACTCTTCCCGTTAGGCTTCCGCGTTCCACCCATGAACGCCCCGCTGGCCATAAATACTGCTTATCGAGCCTACACCTCCGGAGTGGCGGTCCCCGGAATGGGTTATGAGCAGTATTACTGGCCTTCCCCAGAGGAGAAAGCGCAGGAGCCGGTGCACAGTTCGGAGGGGGGCCCTCCCCCAGAAGATTTAAGTGACGTGGAGGAAAAGCCGCCCCACAAAAACCCAAGTAAGTCTCCAAGGGGAAGGACTCCGCTTCTAATATTTTGCCGGTTCCCTTGCCTGGGAATGGGAGCGAGTGTTCGCTCCTCGGTGCGAGTCTTCTCTCAGTACACGTGTGTAAATCTAACTGTTCTGGTTTGTGTACTTCACTGATTTACCTGACTCCGCTCCTCGGTGTGTAATTGCACCAAGTCCTAGCCCTAGATGGAGCCGTTCGTTTCTCGAAGGGTCAGAGCCTCTACAATTGATTTGGGAAAGTCTTCCGATGGTTCAGCCACCTGGGATTGCAGCCCAGAGTAAAACGCACCGGCTGCAGTTTCACATAACCCATGTTTTAAATCGATAGAGACTGAATTTCCATCGTGCTAATTCCATATAACCCGGTGCTGACAAACTACTATGGTGGATTCAGGGCCGGATTTAGGTGAAAAGAGGCCCTAGGCTATTCCACTTATGAGGCCCTTTCACCTATAGTGAAAGTGTAATTTTAATTTTGCTAACAATTTGAATGTAGGGAATGTAGGCCCCTCTTGATCTTGAGGCCCTAGGCTGAAGCCTAGTTAGCCTATAGGAAAATCCGGCCCTGGGTGGATTCATAGAAGACTAGAAACGAGCAAAATTATGTGTGAGCCCAACTGTTAGCGAACTCTTTACTAGAACTTTGAATGAACATGGAGCTTTTAAGGAGCAATTTAAGCAACTAAAACCCCCTTTAGCGTTCGCACCTTGAAAGTGAAATCCTCCAGTGGCTCCATATTTACTTTTAAGTAATTAGGAGATGGGGAATGAAGGGATGAGACTGAAGCCGGGTCCTTCGAGGCTAAGAGTTCTTAATGGGATGAAATCGGGAGGAGTCGGCCCTGATTTCCAGCCTACCTTGCTTAATCGGCGCGCTAGAGGAAAAAAGCCGCCTCTCAAGGTGGTTGTTCGAGATTGGAATGTTTCCCACGAGCGACGTAAACGCAAAGAAAAGGAAGCTGGTGCTGGGAAGCGCGCCTGTTCTGTCTTGGGTGTATAGTACTTTCTTAAGTTTGGCCGACAAATTTCTTTTCCAAATTTGAGAGAGTATTCTGGCTTGTTTCCTAGTCTCATAAACTGCAATTATTAATATTCAGTCATGTGCTTTGCAAAACCAGTTATATGTTTAAAAACTAGGCATTTTGATGTTTAAAAGTGCACTTTTGTGTATTTTAAAACAATGGATATTGCTGTTATGAAATATTATGAAATAAAGTGTTAATATAAAAACATAAAGACAGTCAGAATTTAGTTTCTTTAATTGAATGCAGTGTGTGCTGTCCACTCAGAAATAGTTTGAGCATTTTTCCTGCAAAATAAATGAAAAGATTTTTTTTTATTTCACTAGGCAAAGATAAATTAAAAATTTGGAGTTTTTGGTGAAACAATTTGATATTAAACATGGCCAATATATAATTAGAGTTTTATACTTTTATTAATTGATGTTGACCCTAAAAAACTATTTAAATGTATCATACTGAATTAATTCCTTTCATTCTGGATGCACAATTTTTCGAATTGCAAAAATCTAAGAATTTAGATTTAGTTTCAAAGTCTGTACATCATTTCATCCCTTATGCACAGTAGGAAAATAGCTCTTTATTTACTTCTTTTTATATCTATAATCTAACTTTATTTGAGGATCTTGGTGCTCTCTGAGCTTGGTGGTTTTCTTGCAGATGTTTCATTGCCAAACTAGGTAACTTCATCAGTATTAGAAGGGAGTGGGGTTTGTTCTTATTTATATACACTAGTGACTTGCCCTGTCAGTGTTAGTAGTTTAGTAATGAAACCTCTGCAAGAAAACCGTCACCCTCAGAGAGCATCAGGGACCCGACAGTTTCAACCCTGAGCTATAAAATATTCTATTGATCTAATTTATTTAAAAGTCATCTTCTTTTGCCCTTAAATGCTGTTTTATGCTTGATTTCTAGATCTTTCTCCAAGTTCTGGAATATTAATTCTTTACACCCCCGACTCTGCTACCAGTCCCAACAGACAGTCCTCTTCTCCACAGCTCACTTCTACACCCCAGAAATACAAGGAGGAAAATCCAGGAAGCAGGAAAGCCAAAACACGCACAGCTTTCTCTCAAGAGCAATTGGAGATACTGCACCACCGATTTCAGAGCCAAAAGTATCTCAGTCCACAACAGATTCAAGAACTGGCTGCAGCCTTGAAACTCACTTACAAACAGGTAAGGACTTCTGACACAGCCTGAATTCAGCCCAAGACATTTCCATAATTATAGAGAGTTAGTTTGGTATAGTGGTTAAGACACCAGGCTAGATACCAAGAGAACATGAATTTTAGTCTTGCCTTAGGCAAAAAGCCAACTAGATGACCTAGCTCAGGCACTCTATTTGACCTAGAAAAGAGACAATGGCAAACTACTTCCGAAATTGAGCCAAGAAAATTGCAGGAACTTGTCCAGACCGTCACTAAGAATCAAAGGCAGAAAAAATAATTATATAATTATAATTATATAATTTATATAATTAGTATAATATAGAATTATATATTATGTGTGTATATAATTATGTATATAATTATATAATGTGTGTATATAATTATGTGTATATATAATAACAAGGTTGATGTGGGAGGAGTTTTAACTGGTCTGGAGGACATCAAATTTAGACAAGTCTGAATCCTAAGCCGAAATCTTCAGAATTAGATTTTGAGTTATTTTGACTAGAGGCTCTTAGGATCAGTCTTTAAGGTTCTCTTGGTGTCCCGTAATCTTTGAGCATAAGTGCTTTCTTATTCTTTCTCTAGCTACATTTAAACTGCATTTCTCAATCATGTGAATGTTTAAAGTGAGATTGACAGATTCTCAAATCTGTCCTCTGAACAGTTTTTCCTAATTTTTTTTATTTCTGCAAAACTTGGGGTTCCTTCAAGCCCGCTGCCACCTACTGGGCCCTAGCTAGTTGTAGGTAATGACTATTGGTTTCCTGAGCAACAAATAACAAAATCATCGAAGTGCATTGTATAAGCCTGTCTAGCATCTTTTTTCCTCTTACTACATGCTGCCAAGAAAATAAGGATATCTGAATTGACTAGCTCTGCTGTTCATTGTTGGACAGCCAAGTGCCTTAGGGCAAGGATCCCCAACCCCCGGTCCATGTGCCTGCATCAGTCCGTGGGATGCCAGAAACTGGGCTGCTCAACTAAGCAAAGCCCCATCTGCGAGATGCAGGAAGCATGTGAAATCATGCCGCCTCTGGTCCATGGAAAAAAAACTTTCTGTGGAACCGGTCCCTGGTGCCCAAAAGATTGGGGGCTGTTGCCTTAGGGAAGATCACATGTTCTCACAAAGTAGAAATTATTTTTCATGTTGTTCCTTAGAATCTGGTGTTTAAGACTGCCTGCAATTCTTAAGGATAAGGGGTCCTAAGATAATTAAGAACCATCAAGACTCTAGCTGTGAATTTTATCCAGTCTCCTTTGAAAACACCTAAACCAGAGACCTATTACCGCATTAAATTGTAGTAAATTTTACAATTTAATTTTGTCTTGTAAAAAGAAGCATTTTCCTTTATTATTCTCAATAAGTGCTAACATTATAAGAAGTGGAGGCAAATTCTTGACTTATGTCTTCCCTACACTGCATATTTTAAAAACTTCTGTAGTAATAAAAAATGTACACAGTATTCCAAGAGCCAAGTCTGCTGGAGCCTTCGTGTCCAGAAAAGGACAATGGCAAATGGTATCCTATCTTTTCACCACATTCCAGGTAAAAACGTGGTTTCAGAATCAACGGATGAAGTTTAAGCGAACTCAGAAAGAAACTCTGTGGATGAGAAAAGGAATGTGCCAAACTCAGGTAATTGGGCAACCCACTCATAATACCCATTAAAAAGATGCTCATTCTTTATTGTAGGTATTGTAGCCTGATGGTACATGGAATCATAGCTGACAGGTGAAGTGCATGTTTTGCATAAGAAAGATCCCATTGCTCAAAGCCTCGCATTTTCAACTGGAACTGGAAAAATGCCTGCCATAAAACTTAGAATATGACTGGATAGAGGGAATGCTTTTGACCTGGAGGGAATATTGATTATAAAAACACCTTCTTCTGTTTTTAATCCCTATTGTTTAAGAACTGGGGGCTAATCCATATGGGGCTTTTTGAACAAAAAATGCATCAATACAACTCTTGTTTTGCTTGTTTCTCACAGAATAGTTATTTGGATATAAACCCAAGCTATCATGAAGGTTACAGTATTGGTGAGGCCAGGAACATCCATTCACTGGCTGCTGTGCATGAGAACTACATCAGCAATCAAAACTATAGCAGTAACCAAAGTTATAATAGTGACCACAACCAGGCCTACTGTAGTCCTCAGAATTTTTATCCAGTTGGTGAGGATGGGAGCTTCTTTGGAAAAGCTGGTGGGGCCTGTTATAGTCCACAAACCATCAACTATATCAACCACCAAAAGATGAATTTTTATCCTGGCTTCTCTCCAAGCATGGAGTATGCCACCATGAAGATGGAAGATGGGTATACCTTCCAAAATGCATCTTCTGCTGCATTACCAGGACCCCCTGTCCTCCAGCACTATCAAAGTCCTCTACAAACTCAAGGACCACGGAGCAACTGTAACTCCTAAGCTTTCTTGCTTTTGTAGTCTTCTTTATTTTGCCAAAGTCACCTACCTCTTCCCACTCCCTCCAGCAAAGGGACCGTGGCACTTTTCAAAAGCTAGGCATAGACAAGAGTGTGTTTGTGTATGGGTGTAAGTGATTCTGAACTTGACTTTCATTACGTCTCTCCTGGCTGGCCTCTAGGAAGAGATTTAATATGGAAGGCAGTTCTCATTCAGGAAATGAGAATTCACGGAACATCAGAATTATTAGCTCTGTGCATGACTTGCCTTTAGTTCCCCCCCACCATCACTTAATGCCATTTTATAAATAATTTAGCTGGAGTTCAGATACAAGTACAGTTGGGAATGTGGATTGGTTGAATTTTTCAACAAATTGAGATCATTTTGCATCTGGCCAATTTGAGATTTTTAATAGCATTAACAATTAAAATCCAGGAATCAATATGGTAGTGAATTTTCTTTTATGTGCAAGATTCACAGAATGAAGAGATAATTATGATTTAATGTTTATTGTCAGAAAAGTCAATGTGGCAATTCTAAGGGAAAAAAATGCCTTTCAGTAGGCTTTCCATTCCACTTGCTACCTTGTCTAGATAGCCATTCACCTTAAAGACAAAAGACATTCTGACTGAACCTGAACCGTGAGTCATTTCCCATTTACCTGTTAATAACCTGTTCATTCCGCTTTGCATCTCATCAGATCAAGACTAGAAGTTTTTGTTTGTTTCTCCTTTAAACAAGTATTAGTTGCTTAGAGAATTATCAAGAATCTGGCATCATTGTCATTAGAATGCAATAGATATTATTATTAACCAATTGAGAGAAGTTTCTATATTCCAGTTCTTTTTGCTGTGCAAAAATATATTTGTATGAGTGATTCATGCAGGAAGAGCATTTGTTGTAGTTGGCAGAAGTGTATTTCTTTCCTATGAAACTTGGTGCTCTGTTTTTCAGTTCCATATCAGCAACCAAAAAGCCTGGAAGTTAGAAGAGAAATCTATTGCTGGCAGCTTTTCAGAATAAAAAGTTGTAAGAATATAATCGATTTCCAAATATGGGGAAGAAACTGGTGGAAGTACAGTTTTTTAATTCTTAAGTGTTGCTTTTAATTGTTGGAAATTTGTTACAGGAAGAGCTCACACAACGTTAATCTGCAGCATTTTGCTCTGTTGTCACTAGTTTTTCAATTTATATACTGTAAGGGATTTATGCTACAGTGTTATAGTAAAAAGTGTGAAAGCTAACTAATGGGTTCTGTTCTTGAGCTTGATTTATTGTACATATTTTACTGACTTGGTGTTTGAAGGAGCCACTCAATCCGACACACTATTCAGTTCTGGAGTCTTAAGTTAAAGCACCCCTAATACATGATGCTCATTACATACCGTGTTTCCCTGAAAATAAGACAGAGTCTTATTTTCTTTTGACTTCTGAAATAAGCGCTTGGCCTTATTTTTGGGGAGGTCTTATTTTTTTGAGGTGCAGGAAGAGTGAGCTCACCATACCTGGCAGTGGTGGTGGGGGGCACAGAGCTGCAACCATCGAAGCTGGCGAGTCCAACAACAAGCAAGGTTGAGGTGGGACACGTCAGGACAGCACTGGCCAGCTGCTTGTCAGCAGGCCGCTCTCCTGGCCACAAGTGGCACCGGCAGGCAACAAGGTGCGTGGCCAGCGCGAAGAACATGGAGGCGATGGTGGTGACGGGACTTCCAGCTCATCAGCTGTTCGTCCCTGCGGCTGTGCACGTGCTTCCAGCCATGCTTCCCAGGACTCTGCACCATGCCATTGGTCCAGCCATTCTGTTGAGTTTGCTAGGGTTTCCGGGAGCAGCCTCTACAAGGCCGTTCCGCGTGGATGGCAGGGGCTTGTGGCATGCATGGGGCATGTCCCCCTTCCCCCCCCCCCAAGGAAATGGCAGGGACCAGCTGTGCACATGTTTCACAGGCCTTATTTTCGGGGGAGGATTTATTTTAGCACATGCGCTCAAAAGCCCGGTTGGGCTTCTTATCCAGAGAGGTCTTAGTTTCCAGGAAACATGATATACAGGGAAGGAAGTCCCACCATTGCTCATTTCTACTGCCAAACTACTGTTGTTTTTCTTAGCGCTAGTAGCACAGATTATCAATCCTTTACTAAGTGCCTAAACTAAAGTATTCTGGGCTGGCACCTGTCCAACCTCTCTATGAAGATTGCCAATGAAGGGAAAGGTGTCACTACAGGAGGCAACCTAATATTCAGCTGAAATTTGATTTCAATTATTCTGTGTCCTGGACTTTTGGGCATTTTTTTCTGGCCTGCAGCAGCTGATAACTATTCTGTCTAGGACTAGGACTATAATTAATAACTTTTCTATTCTTTGAGCCTCAGTAGCTATCCTCCAAGCATCAAACTGAACTGTGACTTGCCAAAATCAGGATTATGCATGTGAAAATGGAGAAAGTGATTTTATTTTTGGTTCTGAATTTGTTTTCAGTTTCAAACGATAATCTTTCTGGACATTTCATTATCAGGAAGGGTAGATTTTTTTAAAAAATAAATCTCTGAGCATCTCTGAGGAGTTTCTATATAGAGTAGAATTGCTGTGCTAGAGAAGGTCTATCAGTGCCTCAGTGTCAAATCTCTTTCCATCAGTGCCAATAGTAGAGTCCCATAGTAATCTTGATGGACTGGGCATAGAATCTGAATAAATTTGTTGGCTAGACCATGCTTACTGAAGCTCAAAGACCAACACTATCCAACCTTGTAAACTTATACCATTTGACTAACATTCCAAAAGCAATTGAGAGGAGGGGAATAAATCTACATAAGGACAATTTTCAAAATCTGTAACCATATTAAAGCTCTGGGAGCCATAACTTACCAATCAAATGCTTTTTCAAAAGAAAATAATGCAGGCCAGTGGCAACAGCTGATGTGCTACCTGCCTTCAATTTCTAAATTCCTTGTGTGTCCAATAACACTTGGCCAATAAAGAATTCTATTCTACTCTAAATGATTTCCTCAACCCCAACTCTAGAGCCTGGACTCTGGCACAGGTCAAACAGTAATTTCACTAGTGAAGCTTCCTCTTCATTTTGATGAAATAATGGCCACATTTTTTTTCAATAACTATGCTTCTTAAAGTCTGTGCATATATTTGAAGCATTGCTTTCCTTTAGTCGCTAATCCATTAAAACACGATTAGTCTTCATTTTAAAGTTAAGCAATATGCAGAACTTTAGCATGTTCCTCAACTTGAGGGACTTTTGTCTGCTAGAATTTAAATTGAGTAATTGCAGCAACCACAACTCCAACTCCATTCTATTTTGCCTTTGTATTGGAGTGACTGGATTGAAGAATAATTGTATTTAATGATTTCTATTATGTGCCACATCAACATTTTGAAGTGGGGACTAAATTATAGACTGGTCATTTTTGAAACTTGGAAGTATTTGAATAAAAATGGTAAAAAAAACATAGGGATGATGGTTGGGAAATGACATAACAAAAACAAATTTTTAAGCAAAGTGATACTACTCCCTCCAAGTCTTTATAAATGCTAGTCAAGCAGTACACAAGCCAATACCAACAAACCTTCATTGTCCCAGTGGAATCTTGTAAAAGCCTATTCAGGAGCAAGACAATATTGAGATCACCATCTTAAAAGTATTAAAACAGAGATTGAGTGAAGTATCCCCCCCCCCCTCTTCATTACTACAGAAAAACAAGCTAGAAAACAATCAGAATAAAGTTTTGAATTATTTTCTAGTCAAAAGTTGCAAAAGGGGAATCTTGCTGATAAAGATGGAATAAACGTATCCATTTCTTATTCGCACTAGCACATTTCACAGTCCAGTCCAGTCTATCTTCTTGCTAGAAGTAACAATAGTTCTTTAGCCCAAAGCATGCCTTTGTCTAGGGATGATCCATGGCAATGGGAGAAATAAGAGCACACAGTAATAATTTGAACTGCACACTGATTCCACTATAGGGAAGGAGGAATTTCATAGATAGAAACATTCACTGCCTGCATGACAGATTGCTACAGCGATCTTGTGAGACCCGGCCATGGAATGGAGTGTATGGGTTTTTAATGTTCTTTTTAAAAAAATTTACCGGATATTGTTCGCATTGGTTTTTTTTTTCTGTAAGCCGCCCAAAGTCCCTAGGGAGTTGGGCGGCATAGAAATGCAAATAATAATAATAATAATAATAATGACAAATACGCTATTCTAATAATTTTCTTCTCTAGCAGTTTATTACCTTTCTGCCTGTGGTAACAGATTGCCCACTTTTGTTTTGCTCCAGCATTTATGCTTTCAATAGTTACTTGATGTAAACAAAGTTGTTCATCCTTTCCCCATCAATTATCACCAAGTTTTTATCTTGGTGTTTATTTACCATACATTAGGCTGTTCAGGATACAAACAGTATGGAAAGCACAAAAAGTTTTGATTGCAACAATGTGGTACCAGTGTACTTTAAAAAAGTTTGCCTAAAGTCAGATAATCGGGGTCAAAGCACCCAATATAACCAATTTATTTGATACATATAAATGAAATAATATACTGGTAAGTATCTGTACAAACAACCATCTGGGTGGATGCGTTCTGTAATAAAGTTGGTGCTGAGAGAGAGATTAGTTCCAAATTAATCATTTATTTGGTCATCTAGTCCAAGCCCAACATCTTAGTACATTTTACTTGCCAAAGACCACACTTTTAAATACTACATTCATCTAGCTCTTAATACTTCAATGTAATCTGGCCTTTACCGATGTGGCCCAGATACTTGCAAATGCCCTCATATGATCAAAAGATCTTCCTCTATTGGCTGTCATAGGTGTTCCGTTTTAGGGGAGATGTTTAGAATTCATGTATTGTTTTATTCTTGGAATATTGTAATCTGCCCAGAGTTTAGAGTGAGCTGTAAAATTTATAACAAAATTGATCATATAGTATCTAGTCTCTTGAGTATCAACTACTCAGATTTGCCCTCAGACACTTTTCACAGTTTGTCTACAATGACTACATGGTTAAAATGAACAAGTACTGAGAGTGAGTTGGACCACCATATAAATTTTCTAAATAAATTTTATGTAAATTAAAACAGTGGACAAAATAAAAACCCAAGACATTTCAAAAGCTACAAGTGGAATATAAATCCACCCACTGTACTATTTTCTTGCTTTGTTTTCAGAAATTATTAGCTATCATAACATTATACTTTAAAGCCTGTTCAACAAGATAGGTGCCATGATTGTTAATGCTGGAAGCTACTAAGAGGTGAGACTTTTCGACACAAAATTATAGCTCTCCACTCCAACCATTTATTTCCTGATATAAGAAATATATATCTAATATATCTATTTTCCATTTCTAAAACAGACTGGAAATCAGATTGAAATTGATATAATTAATCAAAATAATCCAAGGTTGCCTGCAACTGAAACTTTATTCCCTC